AGTCAGGCCGATGGCCCAGTATGCATGTTGATGGATGGATTGATTGATTGATTATTACGGACATGGTATTGTAGTGTGGTATTGGTATTTTGGGGGTAGCTCACTAAGCCCTTGGGCTTACAGTTTTCAGTTGTTTGTTTCAGGTGCTTCAGGAGATCGTGGCAAGGCAAAGGCGTGACCGTACCGCTCCTCATCCTTATGATCTGTTTTGGGACACTCTGATGAATAATGTTTTGAAAACAATTTGTAAACAAATACTTTTGGGGTTTTAATTATGATTGGAAAAGTTTAAATTTGGCATGAAATTTATGGATATTACAATATATTTTGACTCCCGCATTTCTTCTTATATATGTAAGAAAATTAAATAATAGGAAACATCTTCATAGTCCAAACGAGGCTTCAGATGATCAGGACATCAAAACCCATGTTTTCTTTCTTAAACCATTAAGTATATAGGTGTTCTTTCACAATACTAGATAATTGATTATACGGTAAATAATGATAAATTTTGCTATAATTAAACAAAATTAAAAACAAGTTATATGGAATTGTATATATTGACTATATTTTTCTTTGTTTTAAAGTTATCTAGATGAACTGGTTATGGAAAAAGAGCATTTATCACTCTATAATCTGGTACATAATGAGCTTTTGTTTGGCGAAGAAAAATTTCTTCTAATACATTTAAAGTCATGCATATTTTTTTGTAAAGATGTAAGAAAACTAAATTGTGAATTGGTGATAATGGCACTACTACAAATATGCTAAATACAAAAGTTTGGTACTATTTTAGTATATTTTCTATCACACATGGACCATAATTGTACATTTATATAGCATAGGGACCAATTATGCATTTCTATAATACAATGGAAACAGTTCTATTGGTTTTTCCACAGGGAGCACATTGTTAATTATTTCTAAGAGGTACCTTTTTTGTAATTTTTTCTACATAGTGCCTTCTTTTGTAAATTCAGGGACCACATTATTTCTTACAGGTACCATTTCTGTAAAAAAAAAACTTACAGTGATCGTTTCTGATTATTGCAACATAGGGACCATTCTGTAATTTTTACCCAAGTTCCATTTATCTAATTTTAATTTTTGCTCTGTACAGCACATACATAGCACACACAGGGGAATATTTTGTAACTTTTTTGAAACACTTGACATTATAGAAGACTATGATTAGTCATCAGCTCTGACTCAATTGTATATCTATTTTCATACTCTGTTTTGGCCAAAACAATTGAATTTGATTATTTTTTCCTAACTTGTACCACATAATTATAATATATTTATGTAATCAACTAGAATTAGTGATAAAAATAAACAAATCAGACTCATTGAGTTGTGGATTTTATTAGTTGTTAAAGGTTGATGCTATAATAAAGAATTACATTTATTGTATCTAAAATATCCAATGTCGACGCTGAGCCATAACTATTGTTTTGAACACCGAAGCATACATTATCCGGAACTTGGTTCCTAGACTCTTGCATCACAAATATTGTTCTTAACACTGCCAATTGGGTCATACTTTGATCTAACTGCACTTGTATCTTACTAACAGCTTCTTTGTCACGGGCTTTCCTCTTTTTTCTGTCAAGTCCATGCATCCCGTTTCTTAATCCAACATCATGCGTCACCGCCCTAGTACGACCAGGGTGCTTCGGTCCTATTGTCATGGTCAACAAATCCTCTCCAGGACCCGACAACAAGTCACTTTTAGATATTTCTGTTTGGACATCTATCTGTTAATGCAAACAACATAATAGTCAAAACAATTACTTGGACAAAAAATCTTAAAACACAAAATTAAGAAAAATCTTACAAGCTTCTTTACTATGGTTTCCATGTTAGGTGGTACTATTTTTGACCCTGACTCGTTTTTACATCTTCTCCCCAACACATAATTTAATGAACGCTCGCTTTTTATCTCATACAACTGTGGCGGTAGCTCACCCGATGCCTTCTCTTGTTCCCACTTAGGTTTGTTTCACCGATAACCATGTGGGCCTACTGGGACTGGATTCGTATTAAACGTTGAACTCGTCTTTGCTTTCTCACTTATTACCTGGCAATAAAAGTAACAACGACAGTTATAAAACTGCAACATAATAATTAATATTTTCAAGAGACATTATAGTCCTACAAACCTGGAATTCCTTTGATGATATCCTCTCCTTAAACTTTTGCAATGCAATATTCTCCATATATGAGTAGGTTTCAAGTGGATTTCGCTCATGCTCATTTGCCAAGAAATTCTTTTTAACCCTCTTCTTGAATGATCTCCACTTCTCGTTGCAATTCTTAAGCACATTTACTTTGCGTTTATCATCACGGATATTCCAGCGTTTATATTTTTGTTTTGAAAAAATAGTAATTATTAGTAACATATACTAATTAAATGAAATCTCATATAATGTGTATGAGATAACAAAACTTTATGATCGACCATAAGTTATCTTTTTCATTCGCTGGCACTTTCTTCCAAGTCGGATATTCGATAGAAATTAACTTTCTTGTAAGAACACCACAGTCATTGGCGAACTTATTTTGCTTATCACCACAATGCTGACCAAGACTGTTAAATTCAACTTCTTGTGGCTCTGTTATATCCATTAGATGTAAGGTACTGGTTGTTATTGTGGCTGATCATTCATCATATTTATTCTAGATGATTTGCAAATGGCTCAACCACCTACCTGAACAGATTACAAAACAATTCAGCATGATATCACAATGCTTACTTGGCCTTTTGATTCATATAACAATTTATATCCTTACATTGATGAGGAATGGTTAAATGATCGACTTTTCTATGCTCATACTAGTTATTCCTAAAATAACCAAGATATAACAAACAATACCCATGATCTAAAACTTGTTTTTTCCTTAAATATCTTTTCCTTGAAATAAACAGATGGATTAAACATCAATTCTTGGGGATACAATACATTATATGAAAAAACCTGTTAAAAGTATTCACCAGTTGAAAGAACAAAATATTAAATAATATTGGGATCAATTAAATACTTGAAATTGATTAGCAGAATAACCTGATGGAACCTTCACACCATGTAAGCATTTACTAAAAATTGTTTTCTCAACCTTTGACATGGTATAACAAGCTACTGACATATATGTACGCTTTCCAGGATTCTTAATAGGAGCAAGCTCGGGTCGAATTCCCTTTTCAACCATGTCTTCTCGAACATTAACCCCATATTTTGACTTTCCCTTGATGTTTAACAATAAGGCTATCAAGCTTTCACAAACATTTTTTTCGATATGCATAACGTCAAGACAATGGCGAACCTGCAAGTGCTTCTTTTTTTCCAAATAATTTTGGGAGGAGTTGTACCTGTACGTTTACGTTTACGCTTTCCTTTACCATTACCTTTGACTTTTACGAATGTAACGTTTAGATTTTCAACACGAGAAAATACAGTTTCTCCTCGTAATGGTTTCCTTGCTACCATATCCTCAGTTTTACCATTGAACACCTTTTTTCTTGCGATATGGGTGATTTTCTGGAAGATATATCCGATGATCCATATATACATATTTCTTGCAATTTGTCAACCATAACGACTGTGTGTCATATTCACAAACCGGACATGCATTTGTTCCTTTTGTGTTGTATCTAGATAAATTCCCATATGCTGGAAAATCACTTACGGTGCAATAAAACATGGCCCAAAGTTGGAAATTTTCCCCACTATATGCATCATACACTTCGACACCCGGACTCCATAATTTTTGCATATCCTCAATTAATGGAGCTAAATAAACATGGATATCATTTCCCGGCTGTTTTGGACCTTGAATTAGTAATGACATCATGATGTATCTTCTTTTCATGCATAACCAAGGTGGGAGATTGTAGATACAAAGAAGAACCGGCCATGTACTATGACGACTGCTTAGGCTTCCAAATGGATTAATTCCATCATAACTAAATCTGAAACGAATATTTATAATCTATCAACCAAATTCTTTAAAACTAGAATTAATATTTCTCCATTGAGGGGAATCAGCCGCAGGTCTTATTTTTTCGTCTCTTTTACGATCGGCATGCCATCGCATTAATTTTGCATCTTTGGCATTTGCAAATAACCGTTTTAATCTAGGCACAATAGGAAAATACCACAATACTTTAGCAGGTGGACCATTCTTTCTCACATTATTGTTTTCTTCTATATGATTATTATTATGTTTATATCGTGATGTACCGCATGTAATACACTTATCTAGATTTGAATACTGGTTTCTATATAGCATACAGTCTTTTGGACATGCATGTATTCTTTTGATTTCCATTCCCATTGGACACATTAGTTTTTTCGCTTGCTATGTTGAAACATGTACAAGAAGCATATCACTTAAAAGCTTTAGAAGATTTGTGAAACTTGAATCACTCCAACCATTGTTTGCTTTTAGGTTAAGTAGTTTCAAAACAGCGGATAGTTTGTTATACTTCATAAACCCAGTATACAACGGTTTTCGGAGTCGTCAAATAAATGTTGAAAATTTTCATAATCTTTTTCAGCAACATTGTGCTCCCAATCATGTAACATTCGAGACAAGTCATCGTACTATCATTGTTTGAATCACTGTTATCATCATTAAACTCTGAAAAAACCTCATTACGATCAACCAATATCTCTCCATGTCCTGACCAACATATATAATCTCTCATAAACCCACGAATTATTAAATGTTCTTGTACCTTGGCAGAATCAGTGTACATATGACAGTTCTAACAATCTACACAAGGGTACCATATGTAGCTTTCTCCTTTATTCACATGATTTTCCTCTGCAACTTTAAGAAAACCACCCAAACATGCCAAATATTAATCACATGAACGTTTAATTCTATACATCCAGTAACTACGATCAATCTGTTATTACAAAAACTATTATTATTAACATGCATGTAGGACTAAGAATACATCTAAAGGCATTTGTAATTTACCTAATACAATTTTAATCTTACAAAAATATGACGGAGTGTTTGAAAGTAATAAAAATACCTTATTATTATTATTATTATTATTATTATTATTATTATTGCTACTACTACTGCTGTAATACAATGATAAAAGAACACAATAACTCAACTAAAATGAATAAGGTAATGTAACTAAGTTCTTATTAATCCATTGTTATTTTAATTGGGTTTTAATAATAAAACAAATCATATTATTTGTTATGTGAGTAGCTAAGCATCGTTTATATAATTGATAGACATTAACAAAAATACCCTTAAAAATAGAAATGCATATAAATAACTGTTTTACAATATCAAAGTAATTTAGTGGAAGGCGGAATTACTTTCCATTATTTTCCATATTTTTCCCCATTATTCTCCAACCCTATCCCATTTATTCTTCCATTTTGGGAGAAATGAACATTATTTCTCCCAAAATGGGGATGAATTTTAAGTTGTGTGCTTTAGTCCATCTTTTTATATATTTATATATTTCTAGTTTATTTTTATCTATTAATTATAATTTAAATGTAATATTTAATACTTATAATATTTGTTATATATTAAATTATATTAATTAATTATTAATATAAAAAAATTGTTTATGAAAATCATATCAAATTTTAAATACGTATTAAAATTTTAAAAACAATAACGTATTTTACAAAAGCTTATAATTAATTGTTATAAATATAATCTTATTTATTTAATATTATTGTAATAACAAAAATATAGATTATATATTTGTTAAAACCAAATTAATAGAAGGGTTATGTTTGACAATGTATGTAAGTTGGAAGAATAGAATATATTAAGAATATACTTTTTGGGTGTAAAAATGAAATAATTTTAAGATAAAACACTATTTATTCCATTTTTTACTCCATTTTTAGGAAAAAAAAATAAAAATGGATTGGGGGTCTTATAGTCAAACTCGAAGTACTAATAACAATCACAAATTAACAAAATCAAGAAACTTAAAAAA